TAACATTAAGATCGTTAAGAATGGTACCACTCTATCTGGTAAAGATCTCGCCCAATCACTTAACACCTATTTCTTAAGCGTGAGTAATGACCTACCACCACTGAATCCTCTCCTGCTACCTGCCTTTCTCCCTGCACCAAGGCCTGTACCAAAAATTTTCCCTTGCGAAGTTTGCACTAAGATGCTCAATACAAAAGTTTTCAAATCCAGCGGTCCTGACAATATTCCTAACCGGATTATTAAGGATTTCGCGTACGAATTGGCCGAACCTGTATGTCACATCTTTAATACATCTCTGTCCACTGGTGAATTCCCTAACATATGGAAAGATGCATTAATTACACCAATTCCTAATGCGCCATCCGTATCCTGTGAGGAGGAGTTGCGCCCAATCTCTCTTACAGCCTCTTTGTCCAAAATTCTTGAGGACTTTGTAGTCAATTGGATGGTGGATGACGTGAAACATAAAATCAACCCGCAACAATTTGGTTGCCTTAAAGGAACCTCTACAACGTTTTGCTTGATCGATATGATCAACAATTGGCTGAGAACATTGGATGATAAATCGAGCTATCTGCGGATCGTTTTCCTCGATTTCAGTAAAGCGTTCGACCGCATCGACCATAATATCCTGGTCCCAAAGTTGCTGGCCCTTGGCGTCAGATTGTCGCTTATTCCATGGATATGCAGCTTTCTCTCAAATCGCCGTCAATCGGTAAAGATCGACAATTTCCAATCTGATTGGGGCATCAATAACGCAGGTGTCCCTCAAGGAACCAAATTGGGCCCTATTTTGTTCATAATTATGATCAACGATCTTGAACTGGCATCCTCTAGCACTGACCATTGGAAATACGTGGATGACGTAACAATATCGGAGTCCTTAAAGAAAAATGAAGTTTCAGTCCTACAATCTGATCTTAACACAATTGAAAGATGGACTGTTAATAACAACATGAAATTGAACGGAAAGAAATGCAAATAAATGATAGTGAGTTTCGCCTCTTACGCCCACTCCGTGAAGAATCACATGAACTGGACTTAAGAAACAATTCTAACTTCACATTAACTAAATGCAGAACGGAACGTTTTAAAACTAGTTTTATACCAGCAATGACTGCTAATTTTAATAGTAAATAATTTGTAGTATTTTAACAACTGTACATATACGATATATTTATATTTATATTATTTGATATTCATCTTTTATTATGTTTCTGTAAGCATATTGCAATTCACCTTCGGGTGCCAAAATGTGTTTCTTAATAAACCTTTAATAAACCTTTAATAATAATAGAGTGGTACCATTCTTAACGATCTTAATGTTATTGGTTGCAGATCTTTTTTCCCGGACATTTGGTTAACACAGTCTCACCATTTTCTGGAGTCACTGGATTTTAGGTGTTGTACCTTGTTCGTGTAATATGCACACTTTTTCACTCTTATGTCGTTTCGGACTTTAAGTATATAGTGACGCCAGAGGTCAAGGTTACCAGAATGAAAGGCTTTTTGCCTTTGATAAATGGGTATTTTAAAATTATTGATTTAAATTAAATAAATTAATTAGACTGTCTGTAAGAAATTACAAGCATTTGTAACTATATTGCAGAACAAACTTTAGTCTTTAGTCAAGCATAGTCATAGTCCCATTACTGTATAAGTAAATAATCTAATACAGTATGCGCATCAGTACCCCAGGGCTGTTAAAGTCATGCATGCATGCATTAGTGGCTGTGACTTTTTGGACTATTTCTCAAAATTATGGAGGGAGGTGGAAAATATTTATCAAGAGCGTCTTAATTTTTATCAGTTTTTTTTTTAAACAATGCTAGTAATATTCGGGCTGCGGTGGCGCAGGCGTCATAGCAAGCGCCTTTCACGGACTCATGTGAAAAGAGTCTGTCATTCTGTCAACACTCTACCGAAAGTCGTGGGTTTTCTCCAGGTGCTCAGTTAGAAGAGTAATATCTCAATTGTTCTAAGATCAATTGTCTAGGCTAAGTAAATAACATAAGTAATCGTAATACTTGATGTAATCGGTCACTGAAAAGACTCAATGCAAAGGGAGTGAGCTGAATAATGTAATGTAATGTAATATGAAACCACCGAATGAAATTTCGCCATAAATCATCACAATTTTCATTATTTGTATTAAAATGCAACGAAAAGAAAACGCGTACGAGTACAAAGAACTATTGTGCGTGTAATGCACTATATATAAGTAGAGAAAGACAAACTGAATTTATAAGTGGCTGTTGCCGGAACCGCAGGAGTTAAACTACCGATATAAACTCGACTGATAGCGCGTGTAAGAAATGTTAAATTACGTTTTATTATACTAATGAACTGTCAGACGCGACATGTGCTCGGTATTCTTACCAAGACAAATTTTATTCAAGTTTGAGAGATTGTCTACCACTTGTGTCGGGTATTTCAAAAAGTTTTAAACTACCAACTCTTAATCTTGCTAAGAGGAGGAAAAAGAGGAGGAAAATTACACTGTGTCGAATTTACGTAATACTTTCTTTCAGTAAACTCAGAATTTGACAATAGCGATTAGCAAACAATGCAGGCCACCCACATGTACGCAGTGCGTACCTATTTTTAGTGGTTGTGACGCTATTCTGCTTCTCGTCCTTTTTTACGCAATTCCGCGTTTTATCCTCATTTGCGGAATCCGTGTTTTTTATCTTCATTTGCGGAATCCGCGTTTTATCCTCATTTGCGGAATCCGCCTCCGGAATCCGCATCCGGAATCCGCGTTTTATCCCAACCCCTTAATGAAGCCATATAAGCCATAGGGGACATTTCCTAGATTAATCAGTGTTTTCAAACTGGAAGAGAACTGTTTTCAAAGCAGGTGGCGGATTTGAAATCTTTCAGGGGACAACGCGGGGCTGATTAAGTAGTCATTTTCAAACTATTAGTAGCTTGAATTTTTCGAGGTACTAGTAGTTTAAAATTTTTACGGTACTAGTACACTGGAATTAATTTAAGCTGTAGATTGTTCTGCCATTAACAAAACTACAAAGCAAAATTAAACACACTTTTGCATAAAAAAATAATGCATGACTTGGAACAGTTTTCACAAACTCACAAACCAAACAAATCTCACAAACCACACAAATCTCAGACAGACCAAACACATCTCACAAACCACACAAATCTCAGACAGAATTTCAAATTTCACAAAAATTAAAAAAAGAAAATCAACACGATCTTCTGTGACCAAAATTTAAATGTGTCGGATTTTAAGCCGTTAACCAAAGCCTGAAAGCCGCTAATCAGTCCAACATATCCAACACTATGCTTGGTAATGGTTGACATTGGTTGTTGATGTTGGATCAGGCTTGACTTTATCGAAAATTTTAGTCATCCAACATCGTGCGACATTGTTGGCCCAACAATGATAGTACGATGTTGAAAATGGAATGGTAAGCCTGCCGCACACGACAGCAACTTGTTGAGCTAACCGCCTCGCATGGCAGCTGGCTCAGCAAGTTTCTCTCGTGTGCGGATAGTTTTCGTAGTGAGGATTTGACCTCTCGAGGCCTTGAGGAAAATATCTATGCCATCTATATATCGTGTTTGATATTTTTCACCTCGCGAGGAAAAAATCTCAGCGTCTGCGGATGTTGTGAGCTTAGTGCTAAGCTGCTTGAATCAATTAGCTAATGAGAAACCATAGTTTCTTCATGTGACTTGGAACAAAATGGAGGAAAATGAAAATCGAGGCGGTTAGCTCAGCAAGTTCCTCTCGTGTGCGGTAGGCTTAGCGCCGTCCGTTCAAACGAGGCCAACATGTTGGCCCAACACACGCCGACATTGTTGTTTTGACTGGGTGTCAAGGTTTTCAGGTTTTTAAAGGGTTTATTGGAGTGTCCCTATATGTCGTGTGTCGTGTGTTAAAAGTCGTGTGTCGTGGGTAAAGTCGTGGGTAAAGTCGTGGGTAACTCGTGGGTCATAAAATGTGCTAAAAAACGCATTTTTTCATGAAGATGTTATTTTTATTTTTAATATTTTTTTCGTACTTTTTCCATTTATGCATTAGATAAATACAGGAAAATTTAACGCAACAAATCTCCAGTAATACAATAATTTCTTATCTTGCTGTATCTATAGTATAACAAGTAAATGTTTGATTTTGTTTCCGTTTCGTATAGTCTAATAAGCCTATAGAGTATAAATGTATTGTTTGATGATAAAATGTCTTAAGTTATAGGATATAGGTTTATCAGTTAGCTTTGGAAGAGTTATAGTCCCTATCATGAACGTCGCGAATAACTATGTCGATTGCATATATCTGATACAAACATATTGAGCTATCAGTAAATTTTACGCTGCAGCCTGTATAACTAGTGGCTAACAACAAGGGCAAATAATGTTAGCCAATCAGCGCGTTTGTTTACATTTTGCGTTCTTGACCAATCAGAATGCCTGAAATTCGAAACATGTAAACAAAAAGAGTGAGAAAATAACACCTTGTTCTACGCCCTCGGTGACATTCGATATTAA